ATGTAGATGGAGAAGAGAAGTGGTCCAAGCACTGAGCCTTGAGGATCACCAGTAGCAAGAAGTTGTGACTTAGAAACCTCACCCCTCCAAGACACCCTGAAGGACTTACCAGAGAGGTAGGACTTGAAGCACTGGAGTGTGGTTCCTGAGATGCCCATCTTCATGAGGGTGGACAGGAGGATCTGGTGGTTAAAGGTGTCAAAAGCAGCAGACAGATCCAGCAAGATGAGTACTGAGGATTTGGAAGCTGCTCTTGCCAGTCTCAGGGCTTCAGTAACCGAGAACAGGGCAGTCTCAGTTGAGTGGCCGCTTTTGAAGCCAGATTGGTTGCTGTCCAGGAGGTTGTTCTGTGCAAGGACCGCTTTTGAAGCCAGATTGGTTGCTGTTCAGGAGGTTGTTCTGTGCAAGAAACATAGAGAGTTGGTTGAAGACAACTCGCTCAAGTGTCTTTGCAATGAATGGAAGAAGGGATACTGGTCTGTAGTTTTCTAAAAGTGCTGGATTTAGAGAGGGTTTTTTAAGCAGTGGGCTTACCCGAGCCTGCTTAAATGCTGTGGGAAATGTACCGGTGTGAATAGAGGTGTTGATAATGTGAGTAAGCGAAGGAATGACTGAAGAAGAAATGGCCTGAAGGAGGTGAGTGGGGATAGGATCAAGTGGACAAGTAGTAGGATGATTGGAAAGGATAAGTTTGGAAACGTCCATCTCCGAGAGTGGAGAGAAGGAGGAGAGAGAGTGTGTATTTGTTGTTATGAAGTTGTCATCAGTTTGTGGTGAGGAGAATTGGTCACTGATGGTTCTTAGTTTTATTTGTGAAGAAAATTGCAAAGTCATCAGCTGTAAGAGTTGATGAAGGAAGGAGGGGGAGGAGGACAGAGAAGAGAAGAGAAAGTTTTGAAAAGTGTGCGAGGGTCAGAGCAGTTGTTAATTTTGTTGTGGTAGTATGTCGTTTTAGCAGTGGAGACATTTGCAGAGAAGGAAGAGAGGAGTGACTGATACACACTAAGGTCGGTAGAGTTTTTTGATTTGCGCCAATTCCTCTCTGCAGCCCTGAGTTTAGAGCGATGTTCACGGAGAACATCGGACAGCCAGGGGGCAGAGGGGGTAGTGCGTTCTGGTCTGGATGAAAGTGGGCAAAAGTTGTCTAAGCAAGATGTTAGAGTGGAGCAAAGAGTGTCAGTAGCACTGTTTTTGTCCAGTACTGAAAACTGAGAGGGCGAAGGAAGTGAGGATGAAACCATAGAGGATAGGCGAGAGGGAGAGAGTGAGCGTAGGTTACGCCAAAAGGTTACCTGCAGAGGAGTGTGTGTTGTGTCGGGAGTCAGTTTGAGGTTAATAGTGATGAGGAAGTTGTCTGAGGTGTGCAACTGAGTAACTAAAGTGGTGTCAGTGGAGCAGTAGCATGTATAGATAAGGTCATTAAGGTGTGTAGATAATTGGTTACCTGATTTGTGAGAAGCCATAGTAGACACTCACTTGAGGTCAAATGAGGCAAGCAGAGTGTTGAAGTCAGCAGATTAGTGTTGAAGTCAGCAGCCTGGGGTTTTTCTAGGTGGATGTTGAAGTCACCGAGCAGTACCAGAGGAGTACCATCCTCAGGAAAGTTTGAAAGTAACACATCCAACTTCTCCAAGAAGTTGCCCAGTTGACCTGGGGGACGATAAATGACTACAAAGTGAATTTTAACAGGGTGGGTAATAGTAATTGCATGTGATTCAAATGAACTGTTGCCTGTAAGAGATGGTAGAAGATCAAATTTCCATTCATTTGAGATAAGGAGACCAGTACCTCCACCCCTCCCAATCGTGCGAGGGGTGTGGGAAAAAGTTAAATTAGTGGAGAGGGCTGCAGGAGTGGCAGTGTTCTCAGGTTTGATCCAAGTCTCAGTTAGGGCCATGAGGTTGAGACCGGAATGAGTAGCAACAGAAGAAATAAATTCTGCTTTGTTAACAGCAGACTGGCAGGTCCAGAGACCAACTGGAATAGAGAGTAAAGTAGTAGAGGACAAAGCCAGGCCGTAGATTATTAGGATTGGCCTGCCTCCAACGTACAGTGTGTGATTTCCGATTGTTAGTAATAGTAGAGATTTGAAAGCACATAGTGAGTACAATTGTCAAAAGTAGATGAGAACAAGCTTTACAAAGAGTAAAGAAAGGGCAGGAAAGCAATACTCAAGTGCCTTGTCGGTGTCCTTGCTCGGTGGAGTCGAGCAGGAAGAGTCGATGGTCTTTACACTCGTCGGTCTTCACACGAGGAGGCCTTCACACGAGGGCTGCCGCGACCGCTGCCGCGGTGAACTAACCAATTTTATACTTGCCCGAGTACTCGTTATTGAAGTCAGCTGGCCACGCCTTACTATTTAGCAAACCGAAACTGGAAAGTCCCGCGATACACACGAGAACAAACGCGACTTGAGCATGTATTTACCACGGTAAAACACAGTAAGTGAAACAATGTTTACTAGCAATGACAACCGCGCTGAAATCTAATGAGAAAACAAGACAAAACACTTACAAACTGCTGTCCTCTTCTGCTGCTCGACTGCATCTAGTCACATCTACAGTCAAACTCACACATCTACAGTTAAAATCACACGTCTAGTCAAAAATCACACATCTAGTCAAAAATCACACATCTATAGTCAAAATCACATGTCTACAGTCAAAATCACACATATGCAGTTAAAATCACACATCTAGTCAGAAATCACACATCTGCAGTCAAAAATCACAGTCTACAAAATCACACATCTGCAGTCAAGATGCTGACACATCTTCAGTCAAAATCACACAGTCTACAAAATCACACATCTGCAGTCAAAATCACACATTTACAGTCAAATCACACATCTGAGGTCAAAATCACATCTGCAGGCAAAATCACATCTGCAGGCAAGATTACACATCTGCAGTCAAAAATCACACATCTGCAGTCAAAATTACACAGTCTACAAAATCACACATCTGCAGGCAAAATCACACATCTGCAGTCAAAAATCATACAGTCTACAAAATCACACATCTGCAGTCAAAATCACATCTGCAGGCAATATTACACATCTGCAGTCAAAAATCACACATCAGTCAAAATCACAGTCTATAAAATCACACATCTGCAGGCAAAATCACACATCTACAGTCAAAATCACATAGTCTACAAAATCACACATCTGCAGTCAAAAATCATAGTCTACAAAATCACACATCTGCAGGCAAAATCATACATCTGCAGTCAAAATCACATCTACAGTCAAAATCACATCTGCAGGCAAAATCACACATCTACAGTCAAAATTACACAGTCTACAAACTCATACATCTGCAGTCAAAAATCACATCTTCAGTCAAAATCACGTCTGCAGTCAAAATCAGTCTACAAAATCACACATCTGCAGTCAAAAATCACACATCTTCAGTCAAAATCAGTCTACAAAATCACACATCTACAGTCAAAATTACACATCTGCAGTCAAAATTACACATCTGCAGTCAAAAATCACACATCTGCAGTCAAAATTACACATCTGCAGTCAAAATCACATATCTACAGTCAAAATCACATCTGCAGTCAAAAATCACACATCTTCAGTCAAAATCACAGTCTACAAAATCACACATCTGCAGTCAAAATCACACATCTGCAGTAAAAAAAAAATCACACATCTACAGTCAAAATCACACATCTACAGTCAAAATTACACATCTGCAGTCAAAATCACACATCTGCAGTCAAAAATCACACATTTTCAGTCAAAATCACACAGTCTACAAAATCACACATCTGAAGTCAAAATCACACATCTGTAGTCAAAATCACACATCTGCAGTCAAAAATCACAGTTTACAAAATCACACATCTTCAGTCACAAATCACAGTCTACAAAATCACACATCTGCAGTCACAAATCACACAGTCTACAAAATCACACATCTGCAGGCAAAATCACACATCTACTGTCAAATCACACATCTGCAGTCAAAATCACACATCTACAGCCATGTGAACAAATTAGTGCTGCAGGGGTTTTGCTCTGAATGGACATTTAAAGAGTCACATATAACACTTTATACATAAAGAATATAAAACAGGGCTTTAAACCCTAGGAATGCAGTTTTTTTTAAAGAAATTGCACTTAACATTCACTGAATTTTGCATGTTGACCTCAGTTTGTGAATTCAACATTGTATTAGCATTGGCTTTATTCTGTATTGTTATGGGGTTTGCAGCGATGTGTAAATACAATTTAATACCCTGATTTGTGCTTTTTTGCTGTTTTCAAGCATGAAAATGAAACCAATAAAATGCAAAAACAAAAATGTTGATTTGTAGTTATTGATTAATTCCTACATACTGTATTCAATTATATATTTCTGATCTTTTTTATTAGAATTACTTTGCTGACAGGGTTAAATGGTCAAGATTGATGACATCACAAACTGTGTATTAATTTTAAAAAGATTTGGCTTTCCTAAAAAGTGTCTAAATTATGTATTTCCTTGTCTCTAAATGTTTTTTAACATATACATTAGTGTTCAAAGGTTTGAAGTTACTACGTTTTTTTTTTTGAATTAATACTTTTATTCAGAAAGGACGCGTTAAATTTATTAAAAAAGACAGTAAAAACAATAAACATTGTTAGTAAAGACAAAAGATCTATTGCAAATGTTTTTTGATTTTTTTTGCATTAGTTTGCATCACAGCACACCAGGTTTCAACATTAATATTAATAATCAGAAATGTTTCTTGAGCAGCAAATCAGCATATTAGAATGATTTCTGAAGATCATGTGACACTGAAGACTGGAGTAATGATGCTGAAAATTCAGCTTTGATCACAGAAATAAATTGTTTTAATATATATTCACATAGAAAACAGTTACTTTAAATTGTAAGAATATTTCACAATATTGCTGTTTTTACTGTATTTATGACCAAATAAATGCAGCCTTGCTGAGCAGAAGAGACTTCTTTCAGATACATATAAAAAAAAAGTCAATATACATTTGGGCATTATTAAAATAAAAATGACAGTATACACTATACACTATATTAGAGAAAACTTTTAAATGAACCCCAGAGGAAGCTACAGTACATGATGGAGAACTTACAGTCCACCAGCAGCGTGTTGTTTTGGATGAGAGGATGCAGTCTGCCGTAGGACACGCTGTCACTCATGTTATTACGTGATGACAAAACATTGATCAAAACCTGCAAAAACACATCAGAGTATGAGTTAATATACACTGATGCTAGTAGCAGAATGAAATGTGCTGGTGAACATCCACTTTTGACTGCAGATGTGTAATCTTGCCTGCAGATGTGATTTTGACTGCAGATGTGTGATTTGACTGTACCTGCGTGATGCCGCTCAGCGCCCGCTCGCCGTTAGAGGAGCCCAGTGCGACGTATGTGCCACACAGACCGATGGACGGCCTCACTGCGATCGGCATCAGGAACGAGGCCGGCCTCTTGCCCGGCTCAATGCTGTTACGCTGATGAGAACACACAACCTGTTACAATCCTGACACATATCACTTAAAGGGATAGTTCACCCAAAAATGAAAAATGTGCCACAAACCGAACAGTATTTATATAATTTTTACCTCTGAGCTCCACCTCCACCACTATGTCCAACTGTCTTTGGGCGCGCGCACGGCATCCGGTGCGTGAGGTGTGTACGCGCTCTGGCGTAGTTTACGCAAGCGCCGGAAGTGATCTCTCGCACGTATACGTCACTCATTGTTTACACAGTGCACAGTCATTGTAGGTATGACGGCTAATCAAAATGGTACTTACTTGCACTTATCCGGATTGTTCAAACCAACTTAAAACTAAAAGATTACGTTGTCTCGCGTGAACTCATTTGGGAGGGGTGACTTTCCACGTATTCCCAACTTCTGAGCCTGCTCGCCTGAAGTTATGGTTGATTGCTCTTCGGCTGGATATCAACACTCCCATTAAAATCCGTTGCGAAACAATTCGCAAAACAGTACTAAATGGAGTCTTCAATCAGTGAGGATGATTTTGTTGTCCTCTCGCTTCTTAAAAAGAGCACAAGAAAGGAAATATTGGGTCCAACCAATCCTGAGATATAGAGAGGAAGGAGAGTTCCTCCTTATTAAGGAGCAGCGGGATTATCACGGGCGATTCAACGTTTACTTCAGGATGTCAATGATCAGTTTGATGCTTTGCTAGCGATGCTAGAGACACATATTAAAAAGAAGACCACCAATTTCTGTGAACTCAGTGTGCAAGGATCTATATACAGTGCTTTGTGCTGCGAGACGAAGTGGATGAACTTGACAATCGCCATTCTGGATTTTGGCGTTCGCTTGTACGGTGGCTCTGAATTGTCAAAACACCTCTCAAAATGCTTGCTACGGATGCGAAAAACGCAGAAAATCGAACCCGATCCGAATTTTTTTATGACGGATGAAAGTTTTAGAGGCAGTGTGTAAACGTGATTGACACAACGTGAGGTCGTATTTATTTTTTAACGTGTGAAAATTTCGGACTCATTGTGCAATGGGCTTTACTGTACAAAAACTGCAATTTTAATGGTAAAACCCCTTAACTCTATACAGCGAGACACTATAACACAGGAGTGTCCAGTCCTGACTCCGGCTTCTGGAGGACCAGTGTCCTGCAGAGTTTAGTTCAATACACTTGCCTAGAAGTTTCCAGCAAAGCCATTGGAAGGCAAACCTGCAACCTGTATCCAAAAAAGCATAACAGCTAGTGCTAACACTGCGGCTTTGGCGGTACACAGGGAAGGAGACAAGAGGCCATTTTTTTTAATGGATGTCAATGGAAGAACAATATTTGAGAGAAATAGGCCTTTTGTGTACATAGAAAAAGTTTTAGATCTTTGAGTTCAGCTCATGAAAAATGCGGGCAAAAAAGTGTTGCGTTTATAATTTTGTTCAGTGTAGTATAAGAGCATGACATAAAATAGCAGCAGACAATTGCAGTTTAGACAATGTACTGTACTTTGTTGTACATTTTAGTTGTTTTAGTTCAAATGTTTTAAAATGATGTTTATGTTCTTTTACTAACTGTTTTCACTAGTTGGCAAATGTATGCCAAATGTAACAATTTAGTAATTGTTAATTATAGCTGAAGAATAAGGGTGTTTGGTCTTATGTATGTCACTGGTGTTACATTGTGTCACTGGTGTTACTGTGTGTTTTTTTCTGTCACATTCTATAAAATGTGTCACATGTGACATGATAAAAATTTTACATCGATTGAATTCTGCTACACTCAAGAGTTAAGACTTAAAGGATTGTATCATTACTTGTTTATAACTGTTTTTCTAATATTTTCATTGTTATAGCAAATACATGTTTGTGCAAATGAACTAACATCATTCAGTCACACTTTTAACAAACCTGATTAAAATAAATAAAACATAATCTCCTTATTTGTTGCATTATCATTATTTTTATGTAACTCTGACTACATGTGCTGAAAAAAAAAGAGAAATAATATTTCATAAAAACCTTTAAAATTGCCAAAGAAGTAAGGTAACACCAGTGACAAAAAATGTGGTACATGCGGTCTTTAAATAAATATACAAAAATATAAAAAATCATTAAGCTGTCATTTATGTGACATAATGTGACAATATTTGATTTTGATAATGTATTTCTCCCTGCGATAATAGATCTAATGGGACATTTCACAAAGTCATCCTATAATTTACAGGGAAAAACAGTACAATTATTCTCTGTGACATTTCATAATGATAGTTTCTCATTTAAATAACTGTTGCTTCAATTTGCACATTGGGGTTTGCTGACACGCCTTTGGGGCGAAAGGCTTTTGGCAAAAGTTAGCAAAATTGCTTGGAGCACCTTTTAAACCAAACGGCACAAGAGAGAGGGACTGAATGATTATTTAATAATAATAAAAAAAAAGTAAAAAATAATTTCAAAAGCAAGTTTTCATGAGTGTGTGCCTGTTTTTGCCATGTGTAGGCGTCTAGGCGCACCTGATTGTAAGCTGCAGCGCTGTGGGTTTTGTTGGGCCAAGAGAAGTCCAGCATCTGACTGTTCAGGAGAATCCCAGAGGGTGTCACAATGCGGCTTCCAAACGGCCGGTTTAGAGAGCTGGGAACAGAGGAAACATGAATTCATTCATTCGTTCATTATGCAAATTACAGTGGCCATCCAGGAGCAGGACTGGACACCCCTGGTATTGGGTTTACCTACAAACACTCCATCACAGCCAAAGTAACACACCTCATAACAGACACGATCAAGTCATCGGTGCCCATGATCATGAGCTGGCTGGCCACAGCACCCTCCTGCAGCTCGTATGACGGCGTGTAGTGCTCGGCCGCAGACGCCTGTGAATCACTGATTTTCTGCCAGAGCGCAGCAGCCTGGCCTTTACTGCCAGAGCCAGCCAATGTTATAGAAACGGTATAGAAAGACACTATGTTGAAACACTGCTGTTGAAACAAACATGTTGTCCATTTCAGTTTTGATTCAATAATCACCTGAGCATCTGCGTCACCAACTCAGAAACCGATGAATCGAACATGGAGTCTCCCAGTCCACTGGCTTGAGACAAAGCAATCTTCAGAGACTACATGTGGAGGAAATTAAACACAGGAATACTTTGACAGTAGTGCATGAGCAGAGGCGCTGTTGTGCACCAGGGTTACAAAAATTGAAAAAAGACTTCAAACAAATCAAACAAATGTTAACTGAAAACCTTTTATTAACATTTATTTTAGCTAATCACCAATGCAACATTTCTCATTTTCATTTAGTTTAACTTGATGTACTAAAATTATTATAACTGAAATTAATTAAAACCATATGGACATATTAAAAAAAAACTAACAAAATGACTCAATGAAAATTAAAAATATAAAAACTAATAAAAAATACTAATAAAAACTATAATGGTATAACACTCTTGTGCACTTTTGAATTTAAATTTTTAGGTGAACTCTCCCTTTAATCTTAATGAAAGGGCTGGTCACACTATACTTTTCTTTCCACTGACTTCCATTCATACGCATGCAAATGCAGGAGACAGGAAAAGCAAGCTCATGTGAAATTTAAAGTTCAAGTTCGGGGAACTCTGACCTGTGAATTGTGTGGGATTGATTCATTGATACTTCACTGCGTGAGCTTTTAGCGGGATGAAAAAAACCTTTAAATCTGCAGAATTGCAGTAAAGTGCAGTGAACTGCATATTTTTACATTCTGAATGGATTTTATGCTGGATTACATTTGTAAAAAAAAGACACCACACAGTGTGATGTCATGTTACAACCAATGTTCCCTCAATTTTTTTTTCTTGCCGAGCAAAACTTTTCGGATATTTCAGCCACCTGAGCAAAAACATTCTTTATACCAGACCTGTACAGCGCACGCACAAAAAAAGTGTGTAACTTTTAACTTTAACATGCTATTTATATTTGATTTGACCCTTGATGTAATGCACATTTTAGGTTACCTGATTTGCTTTTTCTAATTATGCTCCGTATGTATGGAACAAGCTTCAAGGTACATTACATATGGAATTTGTACCATCTCTTGCTATTTTAAAGTCTGTTTATATAGAACAGTGTACATGTTTTATACTGACGTATATTATATATACATATATAATAACTGACTAGGATTTGTATTGTTTTTAGAAAATCGTGTTTTGTGTTTGTTCATTGTGTGGTGATATGTATTTCTTTGTAACTTTGTCCTTTGCTGCCTATCTTGACCAGGACTCCCTGGTAGAAGAGATATTGAATCTCAACGGGACCTTCCTGGTTAAATAAGTAAATAAATATATAGTGGTTTGCCCGAGCATTGCAATTATTTCGCATTTACTAGAACTTAATCAAACGGCTTTCCCAACTAATTTTTGCATGTGTCTTGTGCGCAACATTATTTCTTCTGCACGGTTGCTATGTAAGAAGTGCGCAGGGAACACTGGTTATAACTGTTGCGGACGGTGCCTGTAGAAATTCAGCATACTCAAAGTCT